GTAAGCTCGCCTTTGTCAGGTTCGGTATTTCCCCATCCTCCGGTGGTAACCATGCCGCTGGCGCTTGGTCCCCAACCTTGAACAGTGTCTGAAGCGCCAGTAGCGGATCCCCATGTTGTGTCTTCTTCTGGTGTGTAATCATCATCTCCCCATGCGCTGCGTCGCGCTGATGCTTTGTCCCAACCTTCCGCGATGCGCCCTTCATACAGTTTCTGCTTCTTTCTGCCTTGGCCTTGTCTCGTTCTTCCTTGACGCTGAGTTCTCCCTTTGCGTCAGGATCTTTCCAGGCCGGGTCAATCTCCGTGCGATAGACGTCGCAGGTGTAAGGGCACGGACGGCCTTCTTCGTCGAGAGTCCCGGTGTTGGCTCTGAGGACGAAGTGAAGTGTGTTGGAGCGCGGCGTGGGCCGTTCTTGCGGCATGAAGCCACGATCGTCGCCGCCCTCGCCGAAGACGCAGTGAGTGGTAACTGCAAGCTCCATTTCAGTAATGCCCGTGGGTTCTGCCTCGGCGCTCTCCGCTTCCTGAATTGCCGCATAGTCTTTCTCCACTTGCTCTGTGCGGCTCGCCGTGGGTGTGTGATAGGTGGTGCAGAGACCGTTGATGTCGGGCTCGTACAGGTTGATCTCGCGGAGATGAGGGCTACGGCGAATCCACGGTCGTCCGTCTGGGTGCTGCCATGACTTCTGGCTCATGAATGGGAAGTCAAGGGGAATGAGGTCCACGAGCTCGTCTGATGAAGCTTGACAGCTTGGGATGTCGAAGTCGAAGACGTAGATGTCGTTGATCGATCGGGTTCGTCCGAGATACTTGTGCGACTCAGAAGGGGTGTCCGGCAAGGCGTAGGTAAGGAGGAGGTCGCGTGTATCTGGGTCCGTGGCGATCATGACTCCGCAGTCTCTGAGTTGCCCTGCTGAGAGTAGGTTGAAGCGAAGGTGTGGGACGTAGAGCACGTCGTTGAATGAGATGTGTGTGTTGCTGTCTCGTGCTTGCAGGACCACGATGCCTTGTGCATTGGCGCGTAGGTGCTCATTGTTGGCGACAGTGACGTAGGTGGCGGGGGCGCGGCTGAGGTTCGAGACGTAAGGAACAGATCCCACCATGTGCTGTCCACAACAGCTGTCCAGGTACCATGTATTGTAGTTGTCAGTGTTGTTTTTGCACAGGAGCAGCGCGAGTCGCGGAGTCACAAGGGTCGCCTTGTAGCTTCTGTGGAAGAATGGGTCTTCGTCTTCATTCCATCCCACAGGTACGTAACGCTGATTGTTGTGTGGCGGGCTTTCCCGCAGTGTTATTGGCAGATGCCAATCTTGTTCGTATTCATCATACTAGTAGTAGTGGTCTTCTGTGAGGGGATTATTCCATCCCTCTTCTGGTTCAATCAGCTCCGTGGAGTTCTTCCTCTTCGTCTGGTTCAGCAGTCCGACGACACCGCGTCGTCATATTCGCGATAACGTTTCTAGGAGCTCCTGATTGAGATCATTGTGGCTGCTGATGTTGATGCTATGCAGGGGGACGAGAGGTCTGATGTTGTGGCTGATGTCAGAATGTTATTATCTAGCCTGTAGTGGGGTGCTCTGTAGCGGGTACAACCCAACTAGGGTTTGCTATATGTATCCCCATTGCTGCTAGTGAACCCCTCCTTTGCCTAAACTTTCTCTTGCCTAGCTAGGACTTTTCTAGCTGTGGCTCCTCGTTCTAGCCTTAATCTTAACATGGAATCAGAGCGCTTACGCTCCTGGCCTGTGGGCCCACATGCTTCCGCTGCCCTACTCTGTGTCGCGCGCCCCGTGGCGCGCGACCTTCAATTTTTCATCCCGCCGCGCGCTCGGGGCGCGCGGCGGTTTTCTGCCCGCCGTGCGCCCCGAGGCGCGCGGCGGTTTCCTACCGTAGAGGAGCCCGCGCGCGCCCCGCCTGTTCGTCGCGGCGCCCTGGGGAGCTCGCGCGCGCCCCGCCCGTCCGTCGCGGCGCCCTGGGGAGCCCGCGAGCGCCCCGCCCGTCCGTCGCGGCGCCCTGAGGAGCACGCGCGGCCCCCACCCTGCTCGTCGCGGCGCCCTGGGGAGCACGCGCGGCCCCCGCCCGTTCGTCGCGGCGCCCTGGGGAGCCCGCGCGCGCCTCGCCCGTCCGTCGCGGCGCCCTGGGGAGCCGCGCGCGCGCCCCCCCCCCGCCCGTCCGCCGCGGCGCCCTGGGGAGCCGCGCGCGCCACCCCCCTCCCCCCGTCCCGCCCGTCTGTTTTGGCGCCCTAGGGGTCGCGAGCCGTCCCCCCTCGCAGTCCCCCGCGCTCCTGCCCCTATCCCACCCGTTTTAGGGTTTGGGGGTGAGGAGTGTGGGGGTGGCGGTTGTGGGGGTGTCGATTGTGTTCGCCGTCCCCTACTCCTCCGCCTCCTTCGTCTCCCACTGCTGCAGCTGTCGCTGAGGGGGGGTGGATGTGTGGGAGCCTAGGGTTTAGGGTTTAAGGGGGGTGCCGTGGGAGTGGAGCTAGGGTTTGACCAGGGGGTGTGTGTCGAGGGTGTGGGGCAGTTGGAGGAGGTTGTGTGAAGGTAGCTGTCGTGTCGCCTGCAGCGCCTGTAGTCCGTCGGCCTTGCTTCGGTAGCCAGTGAGCCTGTTGCACCAGTCGCCAGTGGGTCCGTTGCTCCTGCCGCTCGTCTATAGCCGCGGAGCCAGTCACTCCAGTAGTCCGTCGCCCTTGCTTCGGTAGCCACTGAGGCAGCCGCTCCTGTGCCCGTGCCTCTGCAGCTTCAGTCGTTGCCTCCCATCTTCTCTCCCTCCACAGTTCCTCCTCCTCCTCACTTGCTCGCTGTGACTAACTCTAGCTTTGCTTACTATTGTGAACTCCTGCTCTATGCCTGCTTGCTCATTGTACTGATTACACCCCACTTTGGCTATGGGGGTGTGTCAGAATGTTATTATCTAGCCTGTAGTGGGGTGCTCTGTAGCGGGTACAACCCAACTAGGGTTTGCTATATGTATCCCCATTGCTGCTAGTGAACCCCTCCTTTGCCTAAACTTTCTCTTGCCTAGCTAGGACTTTTCTAGCTGTGGCTCCTCACTATAGCTACTATTCTCACAGCTGAGAATGACGAGCGTCTTTTCGGCCGACCTAGTTGTTGTGGTGAGTTGAATTCGGGTGGCGATAGTTGGATCGGGATTTGCATCGATCCGTTGAGTGTCCGAAGACTTTGCATATTTTCCAATAGTGGCGCCTTGGTTGTTGTCGCTCTTCACGGTTGTCTGCGTAGAAGGCGAGGCGCTCTCGGCGCGGCGCGGAGCTTGTTCTGCTCGAGTCCATGTCCTGCTGTTCAGTCATGAGTGCGGCGCATAGCACGGCTTCTGAGAGGATTCCTCGCTGTCGGAGTAGCGCTTTGCAGGGCTTCCACTCTGGCCCGAGTCCTTGAAGGACTATGTTGACGAAAATCTCTTCCGAGATTGCGCTCCCATGCTTAATGATCTAGTCACGGATGTTCCGACAGCGGTTAATATAAGAATTTTCTTTCTCCCCGTGCCCCATCTTTGTCTCCATGAGTTGCTGCAGGAGCCTCCTCGCGGTAACCGAATCCTTCGGCTGATAAGCCTCAACGAGGTGCTTCCAGGCTTCCAAGGTTGGAGCGGCGCTCTCTTTGTAGGAGCGAATGCTGAGTTGTTCCACAGGCATCATATTTCTTAGCAGCACACTGTATGCCATGAGGGACTCGCTGTAGTAATGAGCCCTAGCGTCGTCAGTGTCGTCCACCGGTTTAGGGTAGGAGCCGTCGAAGTAATGGTATATCTGCGCTGTCTGTAGGAGGAGCTCAAGCTCGAAACTCCATGTATAAAAATCCTTGCCGTCAAATGTGGCAGTAGTCTTGATCTTTGAAACGCTGATGAAGCGTGCTTGCGCTGAATTGATAACTTCATCACTTGGACGGAGGGCTGTAGTTGTTGATTCGTCTCTATTGAGGGAGAAGGTGTGCGCGGCGGTATCACGGATTTTCGTAGCATTTGCGCAGTTCTTGGAGTTCTTTCTCCATAGTTGAGAGTCGAGCGAATAACTGCTCGAGTGCGACAGTGCCGATCGTGGTTGTTGCCTCATTTGTCGCAGCCGGGTTGGTCTGTCTTTTAGCCGTTAGATTTGCTTGGCCTCCGGAACCTCCGGCCATCTTGGACTTGGAGCGTGTGCCGCTCGCCAGATCTGGGTTGGGCGAGTTTTACGGAAGTGACGTTGCAAAGAATCCCTGAGTAGCTCTCATACCATGTTACAATCCCAAATGGGACTTAGCGAAGGATCGCTCAGGGTTGATCGCAGAGTAGTGTTGCAGCGGAAGTAGTGAACTCAGGTCAGAGTGAATGTAAATGACTGAGATTGATAATAGCATGCATACATCGAATTTGTATATGAATACAAGGGAATACGAAAGGATTTAGACTAGCCATGTACTCTAAGGGGTACATTCCCTTATTGCAGCGAATTCAAACCGTGCAGCGCGGGAACCCGTTTTAAACCTGTTCCCGCTCTTTTCGTTTCAAATGTTTCCGCCTGCATCGGTTTTGGTCAGACGGTTGCTGCGTCGCTTCGACTCTTCTGACTCCTCGACTTCGTACTCGATAGAGTCGGCTCCTGTAGCATACAGGAATGCCTTCTCACATATCTTCATATCGTAACAATGTGCGCCTGAAAAAAAAAATAACAGCACTTCAACTTTTAAGTGGACCCAACTAGAAGGGGGGGGGGGGGGGGGGGGGGGTCACTATTTCAGCTGCTGGTTTTAAGACCCCTTAAAAAAACTGATTTTACTGTGTTTACGTTATTTAGTTTATATTGTAAGATTTGGAGCAACTGGCGAACCTGCTACACTTCGCCACCTTGTTGCTTGTTCCTCCTGCACCTCACCACGAAAGGCTCCCGATACACCACCAAGCCACCAGAATATTGGTCACTGGGGCACTTCTCTTCGCTCCAGACTAATAATGGCTTCCGCCTTCGCCCTGTCATCGCATGTCTCACCCTCGCGCCCCCCGCCAGCTATGGTATCGCAAGGCTCGCTAACAATGCCGTCTTTCCCGTTTGCTGCGTGTAAGCGAGTGGACCACCCTTTGCCACCCCTCGTGTTCACTGTCTCTCTCCCACTCCACCTCTCAGCATCCCGCCGCCTTCTGCCCAACCGGACCCGAGAAGTAGAGGCTATTGGAACATTGTCGCATCGCGCGACAGTCCTTGCCACCAGTGGCAGCAGCGCGACGGAATTCCGAAGCGGCCCGTCCGGCAGTGGCAGCGCCCTTCTACAGTGCGCTGCCGTACCGCACGCCGCGGAAACCGGTTTCGCTCAGCCCGCCTTCGCGCACTGCATCCTGCGCGCGCCGGTGCACTTGCATGCGCACGCGCGAGCTCGTTCACGCGCGTTCGTCGCTTCGCGGCAGAGGCACGCACACGGCTTATCGTCCTCCTCCTCGGCAGGTCCGCGCTTGCCGCATCGCCATCCGCATCCCCCCCAATTCGCGCGGCACTCCCGCCCCGCGCGGAGATCAGCGCCCATCGCATGGGGGGCAGACGCGGAGAGCTCAGGGGGAGCCACGGCCGCGGAAGGCGAGACGCTCGCGGCATGGCAGCAAGGCGCCTCCGATTCGCCTCCGCCACCGTCGGAGCAACGGCAAGAGCAGCTGGCGGCGCCCGATCCGGCGGAAGGAGCGGCGGTTTCGACGGTAGCGGAGGGAGCGGGGGAAGAGGGGGAAGCGGGGGAAGCGAGCAGAGAATTCAGAGTGGAGAGCGGGAAGTGGCGCGTGCGCATGGCCGCGCGCGAGGAGATGAAGGCGGTGGCGGACCTGCAGGCGGAAGTGTTCCATGACCCCCCGCCCGCCCCGCTGTCCGCGCTGAACGCATTCTTTCTAGACATGTTCAAGGTAAGTGGGGGGGGGAAGAGGGGAGGGGGGGGGAGGGACGCATGGAGGGCGGATGGCGAGGACGCGACAGGGGGGATTGGGGCGGGTGAGACAGGGACGATGGCGCATGGTGGTGCTTCTTAGGGAAGGCACGAAAAGGGTTAGAAGGAGGCGTGGTGTGACATGGACGAAACTGCTCCTAGCTGGTCTTTGCTGTGCATCTTGCAGCACGTGGGCTCGAACGCAACGCAACCTCCTCTCCCCCCCTTTTCCTCCCCCCTCCCCCTCCCTCTCTCTGTCCCCATGCATGCCCGCAATGTGATGTGGGCGTGGTGTCGGTACGCATGTGTGACATCACTGCGGTGCGGTGCAGGCGGAGCTCTACGATAACCTGCTGCACAAGCTCAAATACTCGCCGCCTGACAGGTGCCCTGCCCACCCCTTGCTCCTGCCCCCGTTCTCCCCTCCCCTTTCCCGTTCCCCCATCGTCCCTCGCGCCCGTGCGATCACACTCACACACCCTGCCATCCATCCTGGCGTGGGGCTGCCTGCTTACAGCACACCGGTTAAGAGCGACAGAGAATGGCATGGGCAGGCTCGACGGGAGGTGGGGGGGCAGGGCGCGTGTGATGGGAGGGGCATCAGTGGGGGCAGCATCGTGGCGGGCAGGCCCAGTAAGCGTGACTTGAGGGGAGCCATGCCTCGGTTCTGACTTCGGTGTCTGATGGGCGATAGGTACTTGGCCTTCCGGACCACAGCCAAGGCGTGCAATGGGATGGGATGGAATGGGATGGGCCGCGGGTGAGTTGTGGTGCGAGCGTAGACTGTGGACGGTGCAGTGTAGAGCAAGGGCCACTGCCTGCCTGCAGTAGGTCATTCAATCCTTCAGCTTCGTGCCTCCCAGCTGTGCCTTGGCTGCGCAGCATGACAAGGCCGAATGGGAAGCTGGGAAGGGGGAAGGATGAGGCGAAGGGAAGGGTGTGCTGGGCAGAGTTGGGATGGGCTCTTTCCGAATGAAGTCTCTATGCTGGATGCTAGGCAGCTATGCACTGTCCTGGGCTGAAGAAGCGGCTTTTGTTAAAAGGCTTGGCCATCAGTTAGTTCAATGCCCCTTGGTTGACCCACCCACTTCCTCCTCATCTGCTGCGCTTCCAGATTTCCCTTTTCCTCACAGCCTGCGTTTCCCTCTCATTACCTTACCGCCATGTGCACCCCCCACCTTCCACCGACCCCTCCCCGCAGGCACTGCATTCTCGTGGCACAGCATTCCACCCAGCCATTTCCGCCTCCTCACCCGACCACTGAGCCACCTGCAGGGGAAACCTCCAAGAGACCGTCACCAGCATCCACATCAGCAGCAGCAGCAGCAGTAGCGACAGCAGTGGAGGTGGTGGGAGTGGTGGACCTGACAGCCCTGGACGACCGCAGTGTGCTGAAGCACCTGTCAGGCGCGCAGGACTACCTGTACCTCTCGGGCATGGCTGTGCACGCGTCCCTCAGGTCACTGCCTGCGTGCACTGGGAGATGCTAGCACTGGGCGTTGGGTGGAGTCATGACGCATGTCACACCTGCATGTGCTCTTATCTGCCCCCTTGTCTGCTCTTGTGATTTGCCTGCCATAAAAGTGCCTCTCTGCTCGTCCCAGGACTCTGCTTCTTGCCCGCTCTCCCTGTTCGCACATTCATTCCCTCCTGACCATCAGTCCTGCACCTAACCTCCCTCTACACACACACACACCACCCAATCGCTTTCATGTTACACCCTCATGTCCTGTTTCGCACCCAGCTCATCCTTCCTCATCTATTTCCAACACTCTTTTCCCCCTCCCTTCTCTCCCCTTCTCAACCCGTCTCGCCATCCCTCCCCCTCCCTCTCCCCTCGCCCCTTCCCCCAGGCGGGAGAGCATAGCATCGGTGCTGCTGGGAGCGGTGGAGCAGCTGTCGCTGCGTTGGGGCTTTGAGTACATAGTGCTGCACGTGCACGAGGACAACATAGCCGCGCGCCGCCTCTACCAGAAGGCCGGCTACCTCGCCATCGACTGCGACAGCCGCTGGACCTCCACGCTGCTCGGCATGCGCCGCCGGGTGCTGCTTGCTAAGAGGACAAATGGGTACTTGAGCCGCGCTGCTGCTGCCACCGCCGCTGCTGCTGGTGTTGCGGAAATGAGTGGTTTCGCGGAGAGTGGTGGTGCGAGTGGAGGGACAAGTTTGTGTGGTGTTGGTGGTGGGGAATGGAGGGTGCATGGAGTCGCTGCATGTGCTTGTGCTTGTGGGTCGGCTTCTGCTGTGTCCAGTGATTTGCCATTGCCAAGGCTTGAATGGCAGCCTTCACCAGTGTGCTCTTGAGTTGTCATCTGGTGCACTTGTGGTTGTCAACTGTGTGCCGTTCGTTCCCCTACCTTGCTGGCATGACCACTTGAAACCTCAAAACGAATAATGAGTGCTTTGTGTGTGTACGTTATAAAAAACACCTGAAACCAGCCATTTTGTTGTACCACTTGGGCCAAGAAAATCGCATGTATAGACATGGAGTACCAGAAATGGCTTTCTAATCTGCAATGCATCATTCGCAGACAAAGGCGGTACTAGTAGCTGACAAGTGAATGGCAGCCCGCCATCCCTAGATTTACTTAACTGTCCTCTTCTGTCCCTTTCCCTGCCTCCCCGCTTTTGCTCTCCTTATCACAGAACTAACATGTGCCTTCCTCTTCGTCCCCACAACCTCAATAACATCCTCCTCCTCATCCTCCGTTTCCTCCTCATCCTCTGTTTCCTCATCATCCTCTGTTTCCTCATCATCCTCTGTTTCCTCATCCTCCGTTTCCTCCTCATCCTCTGTTTCATCATCATCAACCGTTTCCTCATCATCCTCTGTCTCCCCATCATCTCCTCCCTTGTCGTCACTCCGCTGCACCACCAGCGGCTTCCATGCGCTCTGAAAAGCCGACGATTGTGCAGCCCCTCTCCATTGTTGCATCACCTCCTCAGCCCTCCTCTTCTGCACCGCCTGCTGCTGCTGCAATGCTCCCTTAGCCCTCTTCCCCAGCCTCCCAGCTTCCTCCCTATGCTCCTGCCCTCCCTTCCTTGTGTCCTTGTGTCGTGCGCCAGCTTGATCTCCTGCACCGCCCATGTAAGCACCTGCTGCACTCGGACCCACAGCAGCACTGTGTGTAGCAGCAGTAGCTGTAGCAGCAGGAGGACTAGGGTGCGGGGCATGAGGCTGTTGTGGCCAAGGAGGCATGCCCGGGAATGGCTGGGGTGGGATGGGCTGGGAGGATGGCTGGGGTGGGAAGGGCGAGTGTGGAAAGTATGGGTATGGTGCGTGGGGAGGGGGATATGACTGAAAAGGTTGGGTTTGTTGATGTAATGGTGCAGGGGGAGGAAATGGGACGATTGATGGTGTAGTTGCTGCTCCACTTCTCTGCTGCTGCTGAGGCTGCTGCTGCTGCTGGCATGACAGCACCTGCCGAAGCTGCTGCAGCAACTGCTGCTCCTGGTTCTGTGCTGCCTGCTGCTGCTGCTGCCGAAACCACGCTGCCACTGCATCTGGTGTTGCACCTGTTGCTACTGCTGCTGCTGCCACTGCTGCTGCCAATGCTGCCGGTGTCACTGCTTCTGTCGTTGTTTCTCCTGCTGCGGCTGGCATCGCTGCTGCTTGCGATGCTGGTGCTGCTGGTGGAGGGTGCCATCCCCCCATCCCCATTGGCCATGCGCCCATGAAGGGTTGCGATGGGTGTGGGGGAGCGGTAGCAGCAAGCCATGGATTAGTGGGCACGGCACTGGGCCACGGAGAGTTGGATGCACCACCACCTGCCTGCGCTGCACTGCCGCCCATGCCAGGCTGCCACCCCATCATGGGCGGCGGAGGCACCACTTGCTGCCACCCGTTGCCGACCCTCTGCCACACTACTCCAGGCGTTTGCCACCCAGGCCATGATTGCCACTGCTGCTGCTGTCCCTGCTGCTGTGGTTGGCTATTGGGTTGCTGTGGAGTGTTGGGAAGGTGGTGCGGGAGAGGTTGAACGTAATCCCCTGCCCCACTGCTGTCACTGCTTCCACCAACATCATTATCACCAGCAGCAGCAGCAGCAGCACCAGCACGAGCAGCACCACCACCAGCAGCAGCAGCAGGTGCAGTGAAATCACGAGCATCGGTTCCACCCTGTCTCCCACCATCTGCTCCTTCACCAGCATTGCCAGCAGCATGCCCATCATCGAAGCTCCAGAAGCCATCCCAGTTGACTCCCACAAGCTTCTTCGTCCTCGGACCCCCTCCGCTTTTCACTCTTCCACCACGCTTCGCTCTTCCCCTCGCTCCACCTTCCTCTCCTTCTCCCCCTGTCACTGCTTCTCCCCCTCTCACTCCTTCTTCCCTTTTCCCTCCTCCCCCTCTCACTCTACCTCCCCCTCTCCCTCCTCCTCCCCCACTCCCTCCTTTCCCTCTCCCTCCTCCTGCCCCTCTCCCTCCTTCTTTCCCTCTCCCTCCTCCTCGTCCTCTCCCCCCTCGTCGTCCTCCCCTTTCTCCTCGTCCTCTCCCCTCTTTTCTTCCCCGACCCGTTTCTGCACCATCCCTCCCTTCCTCTCCCTCACCTTCTCCTGTCTCTCCCCCGCTATCCAACCCCCCACTCACCACACACTCTGCGGCCACCTCTGCATCATCCCTGTCTGCTCCTTCTATCCCTCGCTCGTCCTCGCCCTCCTCGGCACCTTGCCTCTGCTTGTCACCACGCACCTGGCCCGCACGCACGCCCTTCTTAGGCCGCTCCTCGCTCAGCGGGTCATAGTAACACGGCGTGTTGAACAAACCAGTCCTCCACAATCTCCCACTCTTACCACCACCCTTCTCCCCGCCACCACTCAAATCACCCCAGCATCCACCGCCCCCAGCCACCCTACTCGCGCCCTCTTGTCCCTTCCCCGCGTCCCCCACCTCCCCCGTGCCCCCCCTCGCGCTGTTCTCCCCCTTTCGCCGGGCCTGGCGGTGCAGCTGGTCCACCCAGCTGAGCCAGCGCATGCGCTGCCGCACGCGCAGGCGCACGCGCCAGATCTCCCCGTCCATGGCGCGCAGCAGCGCCCGCACGTCCCGTGCATCCACCCACTCCAGCAGATCCACCCCCACCTCCATCGCGCTCTCTGCTGCCTCTGCTGTCTCTGCTGCCGCTGATGCTTGTGGCGCCTGTGTCATCAGCTCTCTCCTTCCTCCCGAGCTCCCTTCTTGTGCGCCCGATGGTGTTCCGCCAGCACCGGCAACGGCAGCAGCCGCGGAAGCAGCAGCAGCAGTGGTGGTGACGGTGGTGGTCGTGGTATTAGTGGCGGGTGTAGAGCATGGAAGCTTGTCAAGGCCGGATACGAGGCAGGGGTTGATGCTCCAGCGGTGCAGGAATGCGAGCATCCACTGGCGCGTGAACATGTGAGACATGGAGACAGGCATGTTGCATTTCAGCACCAGGTGCATGGCACAGCCACGGATAGCTGTGGCAGTGAGAGCAGGAGCAGGAGTCGCGCTCCCCTCTTGCACACAAGCTAACCTCTGGCTCTGCCCTTTCTCATGCTGCCACCCCTGCTGACTCTCTCCCTGCCCCCTCTCAGCCTCACCTTCCATCCTCCTCCCCTCCATTCCTCCCTCCCCTCCCACACCACAACCCCCCTCTCCCCTTTGCCCCCTTCCTACCCTTCCCTTCACCCATTTCGCCAGCACTTTTTCCACACGCCGCATCATGCTAGCGCTTCTCACTCCTGCCTGCACCCCCACCTCTCCCTCCTTCTCCCGTCCACCCTCCCCCTCACCCAACCCCTCCGTCAGCCCCTGTCTCCCGCCCTCATCCCTCAACCCGCCTTTACCCTGACTCGCCAGTCTCTCTCGCACACGTGCTTCCCACGCTATCCCCAGCAGCTGAGTGCGCTGCTGCCACAGCACAGCCAGGTCCTCCTCGCCCACCTGCACGCCCCACGTCGCCCCCACCAAGCCCACCACCACCGCCTGCTCCCGCGCCTCCTCCGAGTCCGCGCGCTGCCCCACCACCCCCTCCGCCACCCACTCACACAGCGCCCGCCGCACCGCCGCCACCACCACTGCCGCTGACGGCTCCTCTGGTACTGGTGCTGCAGCGCCCGCCACTGGTACGTCCAGCCCTCGTCTGCGTGTCAACTGAGTCTCCCACGTTTCAGCCTCGCCCACTCGCGCCTCCCCCATGTGAGCCTCCCCACGTTGACCTGAGCTCATCTGAGCTTCCAGCAGGTGCCTTTCCACCCTCTTTAGAAATTCCCTTCTCCACGCCTCCTCCTGCCTTGCACATGTTCCGGCTTCCGAATCCGCCCCCGCCATCCCTTCACCTGCTGCTGTCCCAGGTACCCCTCGTGCACCATCAACCCCCTGATCTATGCCTGAGTCCCACACGGCAAGGTCATCCCACGACTCATGCTCCCCACGCCCCACAGCCGCCTCACCCTGCCTCTCCTCCTCCAACAGCCTCTCCACTTCCTCCTCCATTTCTTCATCCCCAATTTCCTCCCTCTCCCTGCCTTCACTCCTTCCTGCCACTTCCCCACTCCCTCCACCCTCCGCCCGTCCTCCCTCCCTCTCCCCTCCCTGCCCACGCCCCTCCCCACCTCCCGCACCCACCTCCCCCCTCTCAGCGTCTGTTCCACGCAACTCCTTTCCAAGAAGCCCCCCCTGCATGTCCGCTCTCTCGCGTGCTGCCTCGGCCTGCAGTGCGCGGCACTTGGCGAGCATCTGCACGAACCGAGCACACCAGCTGTACGCGTACTTGAACGTCGGCACCACTCCCACTATCGGCCCGATCCTCCTCGCCACCTCTATAATCACCTCCTTTGATAGCACGTACCGCACGCGCTTGCTCATACCACCACCCCCACCACCCGCACCCGCACCAGCAGCAGCGCTACCGCTCTCATCAGCAGAAGCAAGGCGGGGCGGCCAGCAGATAGTCTCCCAGTAAACCTTCACCCCCGCGCCCAAGCCCTCCACCCAGCGCGCTAGAGCCACCTCCAGCAGCCTATTGGCCCTCAGCCTCGGCCTCTTGAGCAGGCGCAGCGACAGCCCCTGTGGCAGCTGCAGCCAGCGGTGCCTCTGAGCTAGAATGGCCATGAGCACGCCAGGGTGCATGCGCACGCCCCACGCCTTCTCCACTGCCTTGAGAATGTGCGCCTGCTGTAGGCTCGGCCGCGACTGCACCAAAAGGCAGAGCGCGCGCACGCGGCTCAGGGTGATTCCTTCCAGCACTCTGCTCGTCTCCTGCCCCTCGCCCTGCCGCTGCCGCTGCCGCCGCAGGGGCCGTGAGAGGTAGATGAACCGCCCTGCGCTGTGCCGCGCACTCTCAACCCCCACGCCGTGCCTCTGCTCACGTACCGCGTGCCTCTCCTCTTCCTCTTCATCCTCCTCCTCCTCGTCGGAACCCTGTGTGTCGAGAGACGCTGTGCCGAGCGAGGAGGGGGGCGCGTGGATGAGCAGGGTTTCGGTGGGCAGGCTGCTGCGGTAGGAGCGCCCCATGCACGCCACGCGCTCGCACAGGAACCAACTCGACCCATACCCCGGCTCCCTAGTCAGTTTGCTGCCCGCCTTGCTACTTGATGACTGCTTTTGGGCACATACAGTCACCCCTGCCTCAATGCTCTTGTCTGCCGCACTGCCTGCACCATTGCTTATCCTCTCCTCTGCTACTGCATCTAACCCTCCTTCTATCCCCGACTCCACTCCTCCCTCTGCCCCTCCGTCTTCCCTCGTCTCTCCTTCGTCCGCCACGCTTCTCACTTCCTCCGCCTCTACCCTTCCCTCATCTCCTCTCTCTACCCTCTTCACCTCCCCACTCACTCTCCTCTGCTGCGCCCCAACCTCGCCCTCCCCTCCCTGCACGCACTCCTCGTCATCACTCAACTCAACCACCTCCGGCACCTCTCTCCCCTTCCCTTTCGCCCCACTTCCCACCCCACCCACACCGCCTCCCTTCATCCCAGCAGCAGCGGCCAACCGCCTGTGCCTGGCCCAGAGCCCGCGGCCTCGCACATCCAGCCCGCGCTCGTCCCTTAGCCACAGCTGGCTGCCGTACCCCACAGCCCCGCGCACCAGCAGCCCCGCTTCAAACACCGCTTCTTCCACCACGTCCCTCTGGAACTCTCTCACCGTCTCCTCCGCTGCCCGCCTCGCTGCTGCCAGTGCTACCGGGAAGTGCCGGCTGTCCACATGGAGTTCCACCACCACCTCCACCTGCTTCCCCTCCCCGCCTCTCAACTTCCCTCCATCTCTCCCTCCCTGCCCCGTCTCCTCCTCCTCCTCCGAATCCTCCTCCTCCTCTTCCTCCGAATCCTCCCCGCCCTCCTCCTCACTCGTTACCCCTGCTGTCATCCCCTGCACACCGACAGCCGCACCAGCAGCAGCTCCGTCACTCCACCGCGCGCTCCTCCAATCCGCATCCCCACCCCCACCACCTCCCACCGCTCCCTCCGCACCGCTCTCCCCTGCCCCCACTTCCCCTCCACGCGCATCCTTGCTCCATTCCTTCCCGCCGCCCCGCCCTCGCTCCTCATCCGCGGCCTCCTCCTCCTCACTCCCGCTCTCCTCCCCTTGCCCCTCCACGCCACCCGAGGGCCCCGGGGTGAGCGGCAGCAGCAGCAGCCCATAGCGGCGCATGAACACCGCCACCCACTGCTGCGTGAACGGCCTGCGCACGCGCGGCAAGAACTTCCCCGCCACCGCATTCCCCTTCTCCAGGACCCGCTCGCGCGTCACCTCCCTGCCGTGGCCCTGCTCCTCGCGCATCACCCACGCCGCAATGGCATCCTCCAGCCGCACCATGGGCTCCGTGGTCGCAGGGATGGCACCTGCCGCCATCCACTTGGCGCTCTCCTCCACAATGCGCTGCACCTTCCTGGGCGGCACGTCCACACCGTATTTGGCGAGCACGACGGCGGAGACGACCTTGTTGTCCAGGAACGGGCGCACGTGCTTCACCACGGCGATCTCGTACCGGATCCTCAGGTCCAGTGGCTGGTTCGTGTTCTGCATCGGCCGCGGCACGCCTGTGGTATTGCTTCTGTCGCCCAGGAAAGGGTGCCTCCAATGCTCCACGATGGCACGCCATTCCGCCTTCTTACCGCCACTCGCTGCACCATCAGCTACAGTAGCAGCACCAGCAGCAGGGGCAGGCGCAGCAGCAGCAGCAGCACCACCACCACTGGCACCGGTGTTCACGTCAGCGTTTGCCTGTGTGCAACCGCTACCCCCCCCTTCTCCGCCTCTCTCTGCCTGTTCCTTCCCCTGATGCGACCCGTCTTCTCCGCCTACCCCTCCTACTTCCTCCCCGCGTCCCCCTCCGCTACCCTCACCCGCACCCTCCTCAATCTCCAGCACGCGCCTGTCCAACTCGTTCCCGCGTCTATCCAGCCCCGCATCCTCCAGCACCATTCTGCACCACGCCGACGAGTACAAGAACCGCGGCGGAACACCATACGTGGCGCCGATCTCCTTGGCGTACTTGCTAACGCGCCTCAGCGTGATGATCCACCGCGTGCTCGGCAGCCTCGCCGCCTCCTCGCGCGCCTTGGTCTCGCGCACCCACCGCACGATCTCGGCTTCAAGCTCCGCGTTCTTGTATCGGTCCGAGCTCGTCTTGCTGCACGACGCCCACCGCTCGCCCGACGCGCGCTGCAGGATCGCGCGCACGTGGTACGCGCGGACGTACATGCCGAACCGCTTGCTCACGGCCGCCGCGATGTGCGCGTCCTCCAGCTCGGGGTGCGCGCGCTTCAGCGCCACGATCTCGCGCTGCGCCAGCGCGCTGATGGGGGGCAGCGCCCCTTTCTTGTGGTAAGCGAACCGCTGAACTGCAGACGCTTCCCTCAGCGTAGCCGGCGGCCCAGCTGCGCCGGTGATCGTTGGGGGAAGGCCAACTGGCGTGAGGGAGGGAGCGGTGGGCGAGATGGTCCGTTGCGAAGGAGCGCCGTCCGTGCCTGCCTGTTGCTCACTCGCACTCGCACCAACGCGCCCTGCCTCCACCCGCCGCTGCTCGCCGCCGGACGCTCCCATCTGCCCGTCGCGACCGCTGCTCATTCTCAATGGGAAGGTGCGGTCGTGGGAAATCGTACGGGTGCAACTCCTGTTTCGGAGACAGACACCAAGCCGAGCTAGGTCGGACAGGCTACCGCGACCGGGACTCCGTGACAGGGCTGCTCCATTCCGGGCTGCCTCGTATTGCCGCTGACGCGACCACGATTTCTGTGAACCTCGCGTCGCACTGCCTTCGTTTGCCCAAAAAATGGTCCTGACACGGAATCGCGACACAGGCCTGCCTGATGCCTCACTGGGCGTCAAACGGCTGCAATACGAATGGTGCAAAGAGAAAGGGTCATACGAATTGGCGTCGGAGGTGAAAAAAACTCGCAAGGCAGCAGCGGAGAATTACGAATGGAGTCTGCTCGAGTCGCAGTGGCAAACTGGTTGGACAGGTGGAGGCAAATTACCAAGAGGATATTGCTGTCAGGCCTAGGTAGGGAAAAACAGTACCGTTGTGGGAAGCAGTTGCAAAAATAGGACTATCCTATCCCATCGACTGCAGGGAGGAGCAAACCCTAGAGCTGTGCGGTACGAATCTTGTTCTCATTTGTCTGGGCTGAGACGTTCTTGGGAACCCTATGAGTAGTGACAACTTGATCCCGCCAGGTGGCGTCGTTACATCTCAACTGCATCTGACGGAGCCCATCGCCGTGTAGGCTGCGAAGGAAGACGTTGGACTGGATAAACCTTTCATCTAATCACAAATTCTTTCCGACTCCTGACGGGTGTTCTGTTCCAAGTGTAAATGTTCTCCCAGTGCCCCACTGTTCCACACGGTCACTCCCGACGCGAGTGACGGAAATGGAGAATTCAAATGCAAAACATGCATGTGTGCCACAGACGCGGTGCTGCTCCCTCCGATTAAATAACCCTTACGCTACACTCCCCTTAGTTTGAGCGTTTTTACATGATCATCATATTTGTTCACACTCTTACAAGAATGCCTTCAGGAGTACCGTCATCGCCCGGATATAAGACATATATGTCTTATCTCATACACTAAAAAAAATGCTTGGGTTACCTTGTATTTGGGGAGGTTTTGGGTGTCTTATAAGTCTTATAAATGGAAACTTTTTTAAACTACTTAGAAATATTTTCACGCATCTTGAAAAGAGTTTCTCATTAAGAGTGTGGATGGTTCAAAGGTGCCACTTCGGCAACCATTGTTCGGGACGCCACGTCTGTTGGAAACAATCGATCCTAAGCGCCTCTGTCGTGTCGAAACACTAAAACACAAAGGGAACGAAGTATAACGAATCACCGGCGAGTCAACCCTCGGAGGTTGAAAGTAACTTTTGGAGGTTATGCGAAAGTCAAAGGTCAGCGACCTTTGACCTGACAAAGTACAGCGCGACAGCAAGGACAAACAACTGACTCGGTATTGAGCAGTTGCCCGAGTCGTCACTGTATCGAACCGCAACAGCAATAGTAAAACGGTTATTAACTGTATCTCTTCGTATTCCTTGTACTCTTATAAAAGCTTGTATCTCTTTGTTTTAATCAACTTACTTTGCCCTCACATACTAGCGCAAGGTGATTCACAACTCTTTAATTAACGCTTCCGCTACTACACCAACTCTACCCAGAGTTCACCCCTGCAAAGATCCTAAGGGTTTTTCAGCCCAACATGGTATGAGAGCTATCAGGGGGAATTCAACTTCTATACCGACAACATCAACAAGCATGGCTACACAAAAGGAAAGGAGCAACTCCAACGGCTCCCAGGGCACTACTCCTACTCCATCTCCTGCCTCTGGCCTACAGACAGAGGAGGGCACAGCAACAAGACCCAGAGCAACATCTACCGAGACTCCCGCGAATCAACCTGCAGACTTCGACCAGAGCATGATGGAGAAGTTTTTCTCCTTCATGTCCTTCTACGAGCAACACCAGCAATCGGCACTTGCGCAGTCACACAACAGCAACAACAACGGAGCAACACCCATGAGTCTCGACGGCTCATCATATGCACGAGGAAATCAACAACAGCAGCCTACCTTTGCTCCGTACGAGCGCGGGTCCATCAGCTTTATGCCACACCCACAGCCTTCACCTGGACAAGAAAAATCACTGGACGCATTACAAGTTCAGTCGCAGTTCGCACACGTTCTGAAGATGCAGACGTCAAGACCCTTCGATGGAAAGGACTTCTTCACCTGGTCGTTCGAGTTCGAGCTGATGATGGAAGGCGCGCAGATACTCGGGTTCTTCGACGGGTCTCTGCCATACCCAACAAACGGCACACAGTACGAGAAGCAGCAGTACACCTATCAGTCAATGATGGCGTACACGATCCTACTGAGGAATATCACCCCGACTCAACAGCAGAACATAAGGTCTTACCGAGGTTACGGCAACTCCGCGGAGCTCGCGTACAACCACCTGAAGATCTTGTATCAAGCAACAGACAGCGTAAGCCAAAGTCGGTTAATGGCGCAACTGACAACGGTTGAAATGAAACCAGGGGAGAAAGGAATGGCGTATATCAGTCGATGTCGCGAGTTGCGCGACAAGCTTCTTCGATGCGGAGGGTCGATCTCTGAAGACGCCTTCGTGACAGTCATCATCGGCGGCCTCGGTCCTCAATGGCGCGCCACAAAGGCCATTCTCCGAGCTCACGGAAGAATCTCCGAAGCAGCGCTCTGCGCCGAAATCCACGCCGAGCAGCAAGACATGGACCTGCAAGAAGAACGACACAAAAAGAAGACATCAGCACCGGAATTCGCGTTCCACACTCAGCGACGCTACAACAACAACAACAACAACCGGCAGCAACAACCGAAGCCAGTACCTCCGTTCTGCCACATCTGCAAAACTTCAGGACACCCGCGTACGCACTGCCCGAATCGTCAACAGTCAACAACTCCACAGCGGCAACTTCGACCTTCAAGCAGCCAAATCGCCTCAACGCAAGCAAATCCCACGACCCATATTCAAGCCTCAACGACTTCAACGGGACAACCTGCACAAGGAGCAAGAAACATCGTCAGCTGCATGGCAAAACTGAGTGACTCCTGCATCACCGAGTCACCACCACACTACTCACCGGAAGAACAACTCGACGAAACCACACCCCGCCGCGAGTCACTTCAGCCGAACCCGACATACGCCGCCATCGCCCAAAGCGAACCATCCGGAAAGGACACATGGTTCTTGGACAGTTGCTGCGGACAGCACATGTGCTCCTCGGGACGCTTCGTTCAACGAGAACACCAACTTCAACGCGAAGTTGTCATTACAGTCGCCAACAATCAGAACCTGCGAACACGACGACAAGGCGTAGTTCAACTTCAGTCAAGGGAAACAAACGTTATACTGCAGATGTCAAAAGTACTAATCGCGGAGGGACTCGGCTACAACTTACTGAGCGTCAGTCAGCTAATGGCGAAAGGGATTCACCTCGAAGCAGACAGCACCACCCAAGAATTCAAGCTGTATCACGGGAGAGGAGGACTTTACATCGGCAAGGCGGTCCTCAAGAACAACGTCTTCGTTCTTGATTTCGTTCCTGATCTTGGCACCGCCGACAGCGACGCCATCGTTAACTTCACCAACTGGACACACCCTCCAGACCTTGATCCAGACTTCAGTCCAGAAGGCTTCTGGTATTCACACACCATCCCTGAAGCAGAAAGAACAAGGGCGTTAGCAACAATTCAGACAACATCAGCAGCAGCAGAGACAACATCGGCAGCAGCATAGACAACATCGGCAGCAGCAGAGACAACATCGGCAGCAGCAGAGACAACATCGGCAGTAGCAGAACCATCAACGGCAGCAGCAGGAACGTCAACACCAATTGCTGGTCCTTCAACGACACCGCTCCTCATCGACGACACACCACCGACACCCGCGCAACAACTACACCCAGCACCACGAGAAGTTCATCGTAGCGCCAACTTCACCGCCAACTTCTACTCCAACTCCGATATGTACCGACGATCACCCGGACATCGCGCCGACGAAAGCACCTGGCACGCAAGGATGGGACATCCAAGCAACACAGTATTAAACAATACGATAAGAGCAGGAGTACTCGACAAGGACTCACTCCTACTGACCGACGGACGAGAACTTCAACGAGTACGCGGAACGTGCTTCACCTGCCCTGAAGGTGACTTACCACATCGACCGTTTGCGTCTCATCACAACCCGAGCGCACCCGCGTACGCACCACTCGAGAAGGTGTATAGCGACATCCTGTACAATCGGGAACCAGGACAAGTAATATACAACTATACAATCACCTTCATCGACGCCGCCACCCGTTACGTCTGGCACCTAAACCTCCCTAGCCGCGACATGGCATTCGCAGCCTTCGTTGCCTGGCTACCAGTAGCAGAGAGAGAATCGGGCGTGAAACTGAAAAGCTTCCAGTCAGACGGAGGAGGAGAATACACCTCTCAGCGATTCAAGCAGTACCTGGCGGAAAGGGGAATCAAGCGGCTCATCTCCCTTCCCTACGCCCATCAGCAGCAAGGTATAGCAGAAAGAATAAACAGGACCTTGCAGAACAGCATGCGCAAACTGTTACGCGGCATGCGGCTACCCAACCACCAGTGGCCTGCGGCAATGGACCACGCCGTCATGCTGCACAACTTGCTCTCGTCATCATCGCTTCCAAACAACGCATCACCGCATCTGCTATGGACAGGGAAATAGGGCAGCACAAAAATGTTACGAGTATTCGGATGCATGGTACAGTACCGACCCCCAGCAGCACGAGCGGGCCGATTTTCTCAACGAGCACAGTGGGGACTACACCTGGGAATCGAAAAGAACTACAACGCGTGGAAAATCTTCGACGTCCATTCCAAGGAAACAGTAGCAGAACGTGATGTAATTTTCTACGAACGACTCACGCTCCAGACATACCTTGCCAACCTGCAAGAAGACCAGGATCCCACAGGTGGTTTTCGCGGTGACCGAGCCTTCGCCTCAGCAGCGGACGAAGCTGACTGGGACGAGCAGAATGTGGACAACGCATAAGAAGAAGC